CCCAAACCTGGTTTCTCCCTCCTAGGAACCCCAACCCTCACGGTTTTCCAGGGCTCCTGTGTGAATTCAGCAGGGCCTGAGACAGGAAGTCCCGGACCTAGGGCCCCTGTAGGTGAAGGTACTAGGGGAGGAGGCAGGGAGGCTGCGGGACTCCCTGTTCCGGTGCCCCTCTTACCCCTGGGTCTCCCCGCCCTCTCCACTGACTGCCTCTACCTGGGCCTGCTCCGTTGACAGGTGCTGCAGCAGCTGGACCAGGAGCAGCTTCTCCTGCAGAACCGCCTGGTGCAGCTGCTCAGCCTTGGAACCCAGGTGGCGGTGGGCATGCACATCCTGTTGGATTGCAGTTGTCTACTGCATTGTATCGTCCTGGGGGCAGGACATTGGCAGTGAGGACAGGCGCGAGGACCGTCCAGATCCCAGCCAGGAGATGCAGGGCTCAGTTACTTACTCCCGGGTCCAATGCCTAGACAGCACCTGCCTAGACATGGGATCTCTCCCTGCCTCCATCCCTTATCCTACCCCACAGCCTCCCACCTCCAGGACCCCTCTCTGTGCAGTGTGGGCCAGTCCGCACCCCCACAACCCTTCAGTGGCTGGCATCCTGGCCTGTCCTACCTCCCAAGAACTCAACGCGGGCTCTTGACCTTACCAGCCCATTTCACAGACCAGGAAAGTCACAGCCCAGAAGGCTGCAATGTCATGCCCCAAGAAGAGCCTTGTGTGGAGGGGAGCTGATGGCCAGCAGACCCCTGTACCCTCTCACAAAACTCTTGGCGTTCGGCAGCTGTTCGTGGGCTCGCAGTGAAGATGCGGGAAATATTGCCCACTGTTGCTGAGACACAGATCGAGCCTCGCCCGACTCAGGCCACGCTTCAGTCCTCATCCTGCAGGAGGCGCTGCCCCCAGCTCCTGTCGCCCCAGCTCAGTCCCCTCAGTCCCCACTCGCATCTGCAGTTCTTCCCTACCCGTTGTTCCTGGAACCTCTTGGCCCCCAAATGGACTTGGGGGCTTGTCATAAGCAGGACCTCAGGTGGCTGAGTTGTGGGTGCCCCAGGGTCGGTGCACCTGAGAGGGAGCAGACAGTCAAGGACCCCAGACCCTCAGCCCCACCCAAACTTCATGGTCCACAGCCCCGACTCTTGGTTCCTCCTGCTCTTCTCGGGGTCAGCTCATTCCTCACCGCCCTCTGCTGCTCCGGGCCCCTTACAAAGTGGATTCTTTCCTGGTTTGGACCCATTGGAGCTCTCCTGGCAGTGCTGGAAGGGATACTAGGGACAACTAGAAACAAGCGTTCTATGTCCTGCCCCTAGAGCTCTCTGCATTTCTGTGCTCATAACATTCTGGGGAGTGGACAGCCGACCCCGATCTCTCCAGCTGCCCCACATAGGGGGACCCTGAGGTGCAGAGGGTGGGTGAGGTTCTCTCAGCTGCTGCTCCCGGCCTGTCTCTTCATATTTCCCCATGCCTCATTCACAGGGCGCTTCCCTGGATACTCTAAGCCACCCCTTTCTGCCTTGCCCCTCCCCATATCTATCAGACTTGAATCCATGATCCCATGACCCCAACCCCCAAACTCACTAACCCAAACAAGTATGAGGCTCTCCCGTGCAGCATTCTGTTTCTTTGTTTTGTTTTGTTTTTTTCTTTTTGGGTCACACCCGGTTGAGGCACAGGGATTACTCCTGGCTCATGCACTCAGAAATTATTCCTGGCAGTGCTCAGGGGACCATATGGGATGCTGGGAATCGAACCCGGGTCGGCCACATGCAAGGCATATGTCCTACCCGCTGTGCTATCGCTCCAGCCCCACATTCTGATTTTTTAAAAATATATGGGTCTGGAGTGATAGCACAGGAGGGAGGGTGTTTGCCTTGCACGCAGCCAACCCGGGTTCGATCCCCAGCATCCCATATGGTACCCCGAGCACCACCAGGAGTAATTCCTGAGGGCATGAGCCAAGAATTAGCCCTGTGCACTGCCGGGTGTGACCCAAAAAGCAAAATATATATATATTATGTTTTAAAATATATATATGTATGTTTGTAAAATTCTTCTCTTTCAGCTTGTTGGTCTGTCCCAAACATGGAGCAGGGCATGGTGTGAATGGTAGGACAGCTGGGGCGGGTTCTGAGACCCGAGGGTCCTGCTTTGAATCCCCAGCTGCACAGACGGAGTTCCGAGCAGGGTCAGGCCTCACTCCTGAGCACAGAGCCAGGAAAAGCACCTGAGTACTGCTGCCTATGGCCCAGCGCCGTACCCAGCTACCAATAATAGAACACCACGGGAGTGGACACGTGGAGGCAGTCATGGCCAGGGCACCACCTGCACTTCCTGCACCCACCGCTGTCTCTGCTGGCACAGCACATTTGTGGGGGGCACGTGCCCCACAGGTCAAAATTCACCTCCTGGCAGGCGTGACTTGCTCTTCATTTCCATATATCAGTTTGAGGTCCACCTGCTTCTTTTTCGTTGTTCTCACAACTTTAAGTTTTTCCATTTCCATATTTAAAGCAAGTGATATTAGTTTGTGATTTATGATACCCCTACAAAGTTCCTCTTTAACCTAAAGGCAATATCATCTAAAAACAGAAATTAGGTAATGACATGTTGAATGATCCTCAAAGCAGGACACATTTGAACCACTGCTCTGCTCACCGTGGACTGTCTCTAAACTCAAATCTGGCTCCCAATGTCCCTGCTCCTGTAATGATCCCAAAGCCTCAGCTAAGCTCCGGATTTTACCGCAGATAATGTACTACACATGTCCTTTGAAAACTTCAAATATAAGCCATTCATTTTTTAAAAATGTATTTTCATAAAATCACTGTGGCTAGACCTTTACAAAGCTGTTCATAATTAGATTTCATTCATCCTTTTTTCCAACACCCATCCCTCCACCAGTGCACATTTCGCAGCACCAGTGTCCTCAGTTTCCCTCCCTTCAACACCCTCCCCCACCCAGCAAACCCAGGCCCTCGTCTATGGTAAGACACTTTTCTTCTCTCTATCTGTCTCCCTTTTTGCAGTTTACAATACAGATACTGAAAGGGTATCAGGAATATCCCTTTATCTACTTTTAACACTCAAGGATTTCAACTTCGGACAGAAATAGAATTGTTATTTCAGGCAGTTTTGCTGACAGAAGAACTGGGAATGGTCTCTGCTATGGACAACCAGGGATCTGCAGATATGGAGTGACTGACCACAGCCTGGGCCCTGGTCTGAGTGTCCAGGCAGGTCCTGAAGATCGGGAGGTCTTCCAACCCTAAATAGGGATGGGATTAACTCCTGCCTGCCAGGACACTCCTACAGAAGAAGAAGGCCCGAGGCCACTTGGGTTCACTAAACTGGCCTGGTTTCACATCTTCACAATGGCCAGGCCTGGGTAACCATGACATGACAGGTAAAATATCCATAGTGTTATAAGTGTGTCACCACAACCTTTGAAAAACAGGGTGGAGGTCTGGTGGGATTTGGGGGATTGGAAACTGTCCTGAGATGCCAATACTTCTCCTGAGCTGCCGCCAGTCAGGGCTGGCACCTGCCCAGCACTCCCCTCCCCATGCCCCTCCAGCCTCCCAGAGACTCCCTGATCCAGAGTAGGTGAGAGACAGGCAAAGCCTAAGGTGGCAAAATGGGCTGCTTCCTACCTGGCAAAGCTGCCGGGCGTTCTGCCGGGACCAGGCGGCTGGGTATGAAAAAAGATCCGCCCAACCGCAGGTGAAAGAGGCTCACATGGCAGTGGCAGGCAGAGCGCTGAGGTACCAGCCAGCTTCTCATGGCATAGAAATGGGGATAGGAGACAGACCGAAGGAACTACTGGCAAGTTGTGACTGACAAGTATAGGCAGTTAGAGGCCATTACAAGTTAGGGTTTGCGGTCAGTTCTTTCAGCCCACGTTCTCTTTCGAACATGTCCTCCCTTCACATCTTACCAAGTAACTTTCTTTCAGGAAAAACTATCTTGCAGGATTGGACAGGTAGCCCAGAGGGTAGGGCATTTGCCTTGTACACAGACGACCCGGATGTGACCCGGAGTCCCAGGCAACTCAAATGTTCCCCTTAACCCCACCAGGAGTCATACAAATACAGAGCCAGGAGTGAGGCCCGAGCACCACTGGGTGTGTCCCTTCAAAATAGTCCAAGAATAACAAAAAGAGGAGGGGAAGTGGGAGGTGGGGTTGGTGCTAATTGACACGTGACTTCTTGGTACTCGCCAGAATGTTTGTGAATTTTATACGCACCATTGTAAACCGTGTATTCCTTTTGGGATGCAGTACAGAAAAACAACAGTCAGTTAAAAATTTAATTTTGAAAAAGATAAGAGCGGCCCAGAGATAGTACAGTGGGAAGGGCATTTGCGCTATCTGGGTTCGATATCTGGCATCCCATAGAATGCCCCTTGAGCATGGCCAGGGCTGATCCCTGAGTCAGAAACAGGAGTGAACCCTGAGCACCGCTGGATGTGGCCCCCAAACCAAATAGACAAGCAAGCAAGGAAATGTAATACATCAAAATCTAGCATACAGGTGGTAAGGTGTCTGCTTTGTGTTATTCTAATCTGGGGTGATTCGTGGTACCTCATATGAACCCTTGAGCACCACCAGGGGTGATCCCTGAGCACAGAGCTTCAAAACTAACATAGAAGCTGGGAAATGGTATAGTGCTAAGAGTGCACGCCTAGCATGGCTAGTGGTTCAGTTATTTGGGTTTTGTGTTTGATTTTGATTTTTGCTTTGATTTGCTTTGGTTTGGAGGCCACAGCCAGTTGTGCTCACGGCTTACTCCTAGCTCTGCACCCATGGCTCTGCAGACATGGAGGGCTCAGGGGACACCAGGGCATGCCAGGGGTCCAACCCAGGTCACCACGTTGCGTGATATGGCAGGGTGAATTGGACCCTTTCGGCTGTTGAGACCACCCAGTGTTTCCCGCCCCTCACACTCTGCTCCTAGTCTGTCTCTCAGAGAAGCAGATAGAGAGTTCTGCTGGCATGTTAGATCATGGCCAATTACTATAAAGTCAAGGCAGTGGACATGACCATTTTCAACATCCCTGGTCTGAGGTAGACAATTCCCATTCGCTTCTCAGCCTATGGGGCTTCTGGCTGGCGTCCCTTCAGCAGGCCTGAGAGAGAGATGGAACTGATGGCTTAGCCTGGCTTAACCTCCTCTCCTTCTGGCAGGGAGCAGGACCCAGGTGGAGAGGCCCCTGGTGAGTGTGAGAGCAGGGAGGGGGCCAGAAAACTCCCCTTTTTCAGGCCCCAGCCATGCCAATACCTCTGGCAGGTTAGAATCATCAGGCACTTTGTCTAAAAATAACTTGATAGAGGAAAATTCATCAATAGTGAGTTCTGGGTGTTCATCCGCCCCTTTTTAAGGAGACCAAGTCTAATGGGTTGAAATCTTTGAAATTTGAGAATCAGAGGGAGGAGTCATTTAAGCTCAAGAGCACTTAAGTGTTAGTCATTTAGAGTGTAGATGTAAGGCTCTGAGGTGTGAGAAACTTCTCAGTTTTTATTTTAGTTTCCTCTTCCTTAAAGGCTCATACAGAACTCATGGCATTCACTAATGCCCACTGTTTCAGAACCTTGTATATATTGTCCTTTGCCCTCTTAATCAAGGGTGTTAGCTTTGTATTCATTTTGTTTCATTTTCCCACTTACCATGTTAATGTGGGGGCTTCCCTGATCATTAGCTCTTAACACCATTCAGGTCCCTATTCAGGTGCCACTTTGTCACCATCCCATGGTGACACAGTACCTGGGAGGGATGGACTATTCGAACATGGTCTAAGGCTGATAGTTCATAGACACGGACGCGGACTATTGACGGGAAAGCAATGGATCAGGCGAATGACTGGTGGTTCATCGACAAGTTTATTCAGGACAATCAGTGAATAAAGGCAAAAGCAGGAATGTGATAAAGGTAGATGGAATGGAAAAAGGTTTGGCAGTAACAAATAGATTCAGGTGGACACAGACTCTGCATCTCCAATCTCCCCCAAACAGAAACAAAGCTTAATCTCCTTCAAGGTTTCTAAAGGCAGCCATGAAGGTTTCAGTCACTCCTGATAGAGCTCAGGGGACCATGTGGTTTTGGGGATCCAGGTGGAGTTAGACACTTGCAAGGCCTGTACTACCTCTCTGGCCCCATTTATTTTATTATTATTTTTTAGTTCTATTAACACTAGTACTGGAACTCAGTCTGGGTTTATTTGTTTGAGCGGCCCTCCTCCCATGGTGCTGGGGTGATCACGCAGTGCAGAAGATTGAATATAATCTCCAACCCATGCCTCCCTCCCCCACAGTGTGTGACCCAGTTTAGAGTGGAACAATCTTTGTGAACACCCACAATCAGAAGATGTGGTCCACACCTCTGCCTGGTGTGGACTCTTTAAGATGAACAGAAAATGTAGTTTATAGGAATCACTTAATCACTTAACTTCCCGTTAGTCGTCGATTTGCTCGAGCGGGCGCCAGTAACGTCTCCATTTGTCCCTGTCGCGTGCTAGTGTAGCCCAATGGCATCTCTTCGCTCCGGGAACATGGAGGGCCTCAAACCGATCGTTCATGACCTTGACAAAGAAGTCTGACCATCTGGTAGGTGGGCGGCCACGCGGTCTCTTGACATCCCTGGAATCCAATCAGTAACAGCTCTAGTCCAACGGTCGTCTTTAAATCTCATTACGTGACCAGCCCATCTGATTTTCGACACCTTGGCAAATGAGACAGCGTCCCTGATCCTTGATCGTCGACGGATGTCAGAACTCCGGATTCGTTCTCTCATTTGAGTGAAACGTGATATTCCAAGCATAGCTCTTTCTATTTTTCTTTGGGAGACCTGAATGGCGTTCTCATCTTGTTTGCATAGGGCCCAGGTCTCTGAGGCATATGTTAATGCAGGAAGAACAGTGGAATCAAAGAGATGTGCCCGGAGCCGGAGGTTCTTCGTCCTCTTAGCTATTTCTTCGACGTTCTTGAAGGCGTTCCAAGCCGCTCTCTTCCTCCTGCGCAGCTCGGGTGCCAGGTCATTTGTCATGTTGACCTCTCGACCTAGGTACACATAGCTGTTGCATTCGGAGATGGTCGTTCCATTGAGAGCGAATGGGGCGTCAGGAACAAGGCTGTTTCTCATAAACATTGTCTTCGTAAGATTCAGCTGTAGTCCTACCTTTCCACACTCACAGTCAAAGTCGGCCAGCATTTGTGCCGCTTGGCTGATGTTTGGTGTTATTAAAACAATGTCATCAGCAAAGCGGAGGTGGTGTAGTTGCCGAACATCTATCTTCACTCCCATTCCTTCCCATTCCAGTCGTCGCATGATGTTCTCGAGGGTGGCACTGAAGAGTTTTGGTGAAATGGTATCACCCTGCCGCACCCCTCTCTTGACATCTATAGGAACAGAGAAGACGATAAGAGCAAAGTGCTTGGATGGGGCTCCCTGGCCATCGCAAGGCCCTGCCAATGGGCCACCATGGACAGAGTGTTGTCCAGAAGCTGCAGAATGAACTCTAGACCCCACTTCTAGGTCCAAGATTCCTGGTTCTCCAGGATGGGGACACCCAGGGGCTTCCGCTTAGGCCCCGGGAGCAAGACCCTGGGTGCTTGTGCAGAGGACAGATTGCCCAGGTGCTGCCAGCCTTGGACCTGGGAGTCAGTGCTGACCTCCACATCCCTGGGCCCAGAGCAGGACGCCCCGGCTGCCTGTCCTCACTTTCACCATTGTGCCCACAGGTGAGATTGCAGGACAAACAGGTGAGTGTTAGCGGGAGCAACGGGACAACTATCCCCTATTTCCTGCAATGGCAGGTGGCCTCTGACCAGTATCAGTCTCTGAGAATGAGCGACTTGACCAGCAGGTGCTACTGCAAAATCAGCTCCTGGATCAACTGCAGCGAGAATGAATCAGGACAAGGTGAATAAGGAGAAATGATAGGAGGAGCTGTGAAAGACCCACTGTGAGGCCAAGAGCCCACCTTGGGTGAGGGGAGGAAGGACAGGGCAGGGCGCCACCCACTGCGGGGTGGGAGGGGGTGTGAACTGGCCCTTACTGTACAGAGAGGGTCCTCGTAGAGGGGAGCCTGCCAGGTAGGATTAAGGGCTCAAGGCAGAGGGAGGCCCTATCTCTTAGGCCCTGGGAGAAAGACCCCATGGGGGTCTGTGGGGGGGGGGGTTGTCGGATTCCTGCATCTTCTGGCTGGGATCTTGTCGGCCCTCCTGCCTGTCCTCACAGCCAAGGTCCTACCCACAGATGCAGGTGCAGGACGAGACGGTGCAATGCCCGCTGCCTTATTGCTTAGCTTCTGCTGCTACCTAGAACATCACAAACTGCAATCCAAGAGCACCTGGATGCCAGCAATCACCTGTGTTCCAAGGTGGAGCAGCTGCACAAGCTGGTGCTTTAGCAGAAGCAGTTCTTGAACGAGCTGCAGCAGGTGCTAACAAGGCAGCAGGCCCTGCTGGAGGCAGCCTTCAGGAGGCCGAGGGAGATCCAAGTGAGATAGGGGTCACAGGCTCCCAGACAAAAAGGGGGCAGCTGGCTCCCACCCTGCCGGCTCACCTAGTACCTTCACCTTCAAGGGTTCCTCAGTCAGACATAACAGGAGAAAAGCAGCTCCAGGCCCTCTGGAATCATAAGGATACCCCGAGAAAAGTGAGTGACAGGTTCCTTAGGTGGGAGACCACCCCCCGCCATGGAGGTCAGGAAGCGGGGCTGCAGTCAGGCCTGTTGACCTCCCTTGGCTGTCTGAGACTTTGGACACATGCTTCCAAAATACGTCCTGTGCCAGAAGCATGGAGGAGGAGCCCTTTGGCCTTCGAACATAGTGGAGGTTTGTGAGACCCTGAAGTCTGTTTAGCTGGAGGCTACGTATGAGGAGACCGGCTGGAGGAGTGTGAGAAGACTTTGGAGCTGGAGGCTGCGGTCCATATCTAGGCTTGCCGGACAGTAGAGTGTGTGAGGATCCCAAGAGACTCTATTTCTGTCTGAGGAACAGGAGGCCACAGACCCCTGACCCGAGACCCAGAGTGACCCGACTACCAGCAAAATCAAACAAATCCAGCTCGTAATCACAAGTTCAGCTGACAACCTTATTCACCATTAATCCCCTTATTTTGCTGCACACATGAACTCTACCCTCTCCGAATCCAACTAATTCAGCCCCATCCGTCCTTCCCGACCTGCTCCTTCCCACCCTTTTCCCTCCTCCCTTCTCCTTCCACCCCCCCCCCCCACTGCACTCAGTACTAGACACCAGGGTGTGGGCGGTGCAGACCCCCTAAAGACACAAGGTATTATTAGGTGGGCAGAAATGACCCCCACCTAAAGACACAAGAGATCAGGGAGGTAGAAACTCCCCCATCACTAGACCCCATGGATTAGGGGGACAGAATTATCCCACACCACTAGACTTGAGTTGTGGGGGACAGAAATGTCCCCCACCACTAGAACCCAGGGATCAGTGGAACAGAGGTGTCCCCCACTACTGGATCCCAAGGATTAGGGGGACAAATATCTTCCACTACTAGAAACCTGGAATGTGTGGAGAGGGGATGCAGAAATGAAAACTGGGCCAACTCAAATCCCAGTCCTAATGATTTCTAATGATTCAGTCCTAATAACTTTTTTGGGGGGGTAGGGGGGAACTCCCTGTGGCCTGACTCTACCTTCCTCCATGTAACAGCCTCCTCTCCTACCCTCTAGTTCACAGACCCAACAGGGCAACATGGCAGCGACCCCCAGGCTGCTGAAAAGCTGCGTGCAAAAGAAGAATTGAGAAACATGAGGTGTGGGAGAGGGAGAGATGGGGATACCAGAAGCACTCCTGTGGGAAGTGAGGGATGCGAGAGACCCAATTCTCTGAGCTCAACAATAGTCGAGACAGGCGCAGGCTGAGACAGACAATTCTAAGAAGCAGGTGGATGTTCAAACTGATAGGTGGAAGGAAAGAGTGAGGTATTCCTTCCAGGAGGTTCCTTGGGGGAACCTGTCCCCCCCACCCCCGAATGTGCCCCACCTCCAGATTCAGGGATTGTGCAGGGGGCATGGTGCCATGGCCATGCCCACCCAACGTTTCCAATCCCATGGTGTTCTTTTATTGGGGGGCAGGGCGTTGAGCCAGAGCTCCTGTGCTCAGGAGCTTTTCCTGGCTCTGTACTCAGGAGTGAGGCCCGGCAAGTGCTCAGGGCTTCCCTTGTGGTGCTGGGAAATCAAAGCAGGGTCCCTGAATGCCTAAACCACTCTCCAGCTGTCCTACCATTTCAACAGGCCAGTCTCAGAGAAACAAGCTGGAGACAGGAATTGAAACAACATAAAACCTATTTTTAAAAATATGGAAGCCCACATTGCAGAGCTTCATGTATGATTGGATGAGTGAGTGTGGGGGCTGGAGTCACGGGATCAGAGCTTTCAAGTCTGTGACGTAGAGGGCGGGCAAGGCAGAGGGGTGGCTTAGAGTGTCCAGGGAGAGGCCCTGTGAACGGGGCATTGTGAATGGGGAGACAGGCTGGGAGCAGGAGCTGGGCGAGTCTCCCTGACCCTCTGCACCTCGGTGTCCCCCTGCGTGGGGCAGCAGGTGGGGATCCACTCCTCCAGAATGTCATGAGCATGAACGTGAAGAGAAAAGTAGGGCCCGGGTCTGGAACCCTCCTTTCTGCCCTGTCCTGGTGCCCCCTTCCAGCAGTGCCAGGCGGGCACAAATGGTTCCAAACAAGAAAAGAATTGATTTTGTGATGAACCCAAAGCAGCAGAAGGCTGTGAGAGATGAGCAGCCCCCCAAGGTGAGCAGGAGGAACCCCAAGTCCGAGGATGGGGGCCCAGGAAGTTGGTGGTGGGGTGAAGGCTCTGGGGGCCTTGACTGTCTACCCTCTCTCAGGTGCATTAGCCCCGTGGTGCCCCCAACTCTTCCGTCTGGGCTACGGAATATGAAAGAACAGCTACAATGGAGGTCAGGAAGTTTCCACCAGATCCAGGCAAGATGCAGGTTCGTCTGAGGTACGAGGACGCTGCCCTGAGTCTACAGGAGCAGGGGCAGCATCCCCGGAGGGGGCTGTGGTGTGGGGTGAGCAGGGCTAGGTTCAGAGCTGCATCTTAGACGGAATGGAACATGAGTCGGGAACCGTTCCCACGCCCTTTGCCCACCCCATGAGCCCTCCAGCAGCTGGCTGAGCTCTGGGGCAGATTGTTGAGACTGGGGCACGGCCCTTCTGGAAAGCCTGCTACCCTCCGCCCGAAGCCTTTCTTGGCGTGAGAGGCTTCTGATGTTTGGGTCTGGACTTTCCTGTCCAGAAGTTCCCCTGGGAGGACAAGAGACCTACTTGGATTATGGGGGAGAGGGGAAGGACAGGGCAGGAGGCCTCCCAGTGATGTTGACTGGCCCATCCTGCTCCAAATGGTTCTGAGGATGTGGGTGGCAGCAGGGAAAGAGACAAGGGCTAGTTGCCCGGGGAGGCCCCATGTCTTAGGCCCCGGGAGCAAGAACATCAGGGCTGGTTGCACCAGGTGCTGCCTGCCTGGGCCTGGGAGTCTGAGCCTGCCTCTCCTGGCAGGGATTGGGCGACAGGCACTCCCAGGGTTGTCACAGGTGCAGGCGCAGTGCACCTGCAGCGACAGCTCCTTCCTGCAGCACTGGGCCACCGCCCAACAGCACCTGGGCTCTGGGAAGGAGCAGCTGCCTCACAAGAAAGATGAAGAAAAGGAAGATTTAGAGACAACAAGGCGTGGGCTGATGGGGACGCGGGTGAGAAGGGCCGTGGGCTCTGGGCAGGAAGGCGGCAGCCGGCTCCTCCTGCTCCTCACCTACTCTCTTCACCTTCAGGGGTTGCTCAGTCAGCCCTGCAGGAGAACTGGAAGCGGCAGTTCTCCACCCCTGAAATGGCAGAGACCCTGAAAAGGGTGAGTAGCAGGGTCCCAGGAGGGAGAAGCCACCTACGGGGGTCAGGAGGCAGGGCTACGGGGGAGGTGGAGCCAGGTGGGCCCTGCCCCATGCCACTTCACCTCCCCTTGGTTGGCTAAGACCACAGGGCTGCTCCACAGCCCAACAGAACCAGGATGTCAATCATGGGAAATAGACCATGAAGACTGAGGAAGATCAATCAGATTGTGCTGCCCATGAGATAAGGAGGCTGGTGCAATGGTGAAGGAAGAGAAAGGGAGCACCGAGTCAAAGGAACAAAAAGTAAAAACCCTGAGTCTGGCATGCAAACAGATCACCCAAGAGGCCATGGTAAGCATGACACCTGCTCGGAGACCCCTGTGACTGCCCCTCCTAACGCTTGGTCTCCCTCCTCAGCGTTCTCTCAACCCCCAACATCCTGCTCGGGAACCAACGGACAGCCACACCTTCCTTGGAACCCCAAGTGTCCTGTGACAGTCAGAAGGGACTTCCTAAAGACACCCTCATGCACACCCCATCCTCCCTGTTACCCAGAGATGGAAATCACACCTAGATCAAAGGGCAATGTGAGCCAATACAAAGAAAACCTGTGTAGGCAGAAGATCAATCAGACTGTGATGCCCATGAGATAAGGAGCCCACAGAAACCCGGCCCAGGGCCCCAAGTGACCTGCCAGGAAATCATGTTGTCCACTAGCATCAGCAATGGTTAACCTGGGATTCTTTTTTTTTTTAAATTTTTTTTTATTAGTGAAACACCATGAGGTACAGTTGTAGATTTACAATTTTTTGTGCTTGGGTTAGATTATACAATGATCAGATACCCATCCCTCCACCAGTGCCAATTTTCCACCAACATGGATAATATCCCCCCCACCCCCATCCCCCATGCCCCCCTGCCTCTGTGGAAGGGCAATCCCCTGTGTTCTCTCTCTCCTTTTGGGTGTTGTGGTCTGCAAAAGAGGCATTGAGTGGCAAACATGTTCAGTCCATAGTCCACTTTCGACATGCATCTCCCCTCCTGGGAGGGTCCTCCAAACACCCTTTATTTGGTGTTCCCTTCTCTGTCTGAGCTGCCCTTTCCTCTAGAATGCCCGACTGGCCACTAAGCTATGGAGTAATCCTCCTGGTGCTGATCTCAGCTATTCTTGGGTATTAATCTCATATTTTGTTACTTTATATCCCCCAGATGAATGCAATCTTTCTATGTCTATCCCTCTCTTTCTGACTCATTTCGCTTAGCATGATACTTTCTATGTTGTACCACTTGTACGTAAATTTCATGACTTCATCTTTTCTAACAGCTACATAGTACTCCATTGTGTAGATGTACCAAAGTTTCTTTAACCAGTCATCTGTTCGTGGGCATTCAGGTTTCTTCCAGTTTCTGGCTATTGTAAAGAGTGCTGCAATGAACAAACAAGTGCAGATGTCACTTCAACGATACATTTTTGCCTCTCTGGGATATATTCCCAGGAGTGATATTGCTGGGTCAAATGGGAGCTCAATTTCTAATTTTTTGAGAATCATCCATACTGTTTTCCAGAAGGGCTGAACCAGTGGACATTCCCACCAACAGTGAAGGAGTGTCCCTTTCTCGCCACATCCACGCCGGCATCGGTTGCTTTTGTTCTTTTGAATGTGGGCCAGTCTCTGAGGTGTGAGATGGTATCTCATTGTGGTTTTGATCTGCATCTCCCTGATGATTAATGATGTAGAGCATTTTCTCATGTGCTTTTTTGCCATTCCGATTTCTTCTTTGAGAAAGTTTCTGTTCATTTCATTGCCCCATTTTTGGATGGGGTTGGATGTTTTCTTCTTGTGGAGTTTAACCAGTATTTTGTATATCCTGGATATCAACCCCTTGTCAGATGTGTATTCGGCGAATATCCTTTCCCATTCTGTAGACTCTCTTTGTATTTTGGTCACTGTTTCTTTGGAGGTGCAGAAGCTTCTTAGTTTAAGATAGTCCCATTTATCTATCTCTGTTTTCACTTGCTCGGCCAGTGGCGTGGCATCTTTGAAGATACCATTAGCTTCAATGTCATGGAGGGTTTTGCCAACTTTATCATCAATGCACCTTATGGTTTCTGGTCTGATGTTGAGGTCTTTAATCCATTTTGATCTTACTTTTGTAGATGGTGTTAGGCAGAGTTCTGAGCCTATTTTTTTGCATGTAGCCGTCCAGTGATGCCAACACAATTTATTAAACAGGCTTTCCTTACTCCACTTCACATTACTTGCACCTTTATCAAAGATTAGATGATCATATGATTGAGGGGAGATGTCAGTGTATTCAACCCTGTTCCATTGGTCTGCAGTTCTGCCTTTGTTCCAGTACCATGCTGTTTTAATTATTACTGCTTTGTAGTAGAGTTTGAAGTTCGGGAGGTTGATTCCTCCCATTTTCTTTTTCCCAAGAATTGCTTTAGCTATTCGTGGGGGCTTATTGTTCCATATAAATTTCAGGAGTGTTTGCTCCATTTCTTTGAAGAATGTCATGGGTATCATTATAGGGATTGCATTGAATTTATACAATGCTTTCGGTAGTATTGCCATTTTGACAATGTTAAGTCTCCCGACCCATGAGCAGGGGATATCTTTCCATTTCCTCATGTCCTCTTTTATTTCCTGAAATAGCGTTTTGTAGTTTTCTTTATACAGGTCCTTCACTTCCTTAGTTAAGTTGATTCCTAGGTACTTGATTTTCTGGGGCACAATTGTGAACGGGATTGTTTTTTTCATGTTGCTTTCTTCTCTCTCACTGTTTGCGTATAGGAAAGCCATGGACTTTTGGGTATTGATTTTATAACCTGCAACTTTACTATACAAGTCTATTGTTTCTAGGAGTTTTTTGGTGGAGGTTATTGGGTTCTCTAAGTAGAGTATCATATCATCTGCGAATAGTGAGAGCTTGATTTCTTCCTTTCCTACCTGAATGCCCTTAATATCTTTTTCCTGCCTAATCGCTATTGCAAGTACTTCCAGTACTATATTGAACAGCAGTGGAGAGAGTGGGCATCCCTGTCTCGTCCCTGATCTTAGAGGGAAGGCTCTCAGTTTTTCCCCATTGAGGATGATGCTTGTTGTAGGCTTGTGGTAGATGGCTTTAATTATGTTGAGGAAGGTCCCCTCTATACCCATTTTGGCTAGGGTTTTCATCATAAAGGGGTGCTGGATCTTATCAAATGTTTTCTCTGCATCTATTGATATGATCATATGCTTTTTATCTTTTCTTTTGTTGATATGGTGGATTATGTTGATTGATTTTCGAATGTTAAACCATCCTTGCATCCCTGGGATGAATCCTACTTGGTCATGGTGTATGATCTTTTTGATGAGTAGTTGGATTCTATTTGCTAGTAGTTTGTTGAGGATCTTTGCATCTGTGTTCATCAGGGATATCGGCCTGTAATTCTCTTTGTTTGTGGTATCTCTGCCTGCTTTTTCTATCAGTGTGATATTTGCTTCGTAGAAACTGTTTGGAAGTGTTTTTGATATTTCAATATCGTGGAAAAGCTTAAAGAGGATTGGGAGTAAGTCCTCTTTAAAGATTTGGAAGAATTCACTAGTGAATCCATCCGGGCCAGGACTTTTGTGCTTGGGGAGACTTTTTATTACCATTTCAATTTCCTTGATGGTGATAGGTCTGTTCAGGTATTCCAGGTCTGCTTGGTTCAGCCTTGGGAGTCTGTAGGAGTCTAGGAATTTATCCATTTCCTCGAGGTTTTGATGTTCCGTGGCATAAAGCTTCTCAAAGTACTCCCTGAGGATCCTCTGAATTTCTGTGGTTTCTGTTGTAATGACCCCCTTTTCATTTCTGATTCGGTTTATTAGGGTTTTCTCTCTCCCTTTCTTTGTGAGTTTTGCTAGAGGCTTATCGATCTTGTTAATTTTCTCAAAGAACCAGCTTTTGGTTTCATTGATCTTTCAGATTGTTTTTTGTGTTTCCATCTCGTTAATCTCTGCTCTGAGTTTTATTATTTCCTTTCTCCTGTTCAGGTTGTGCTCCTTTTTTTTGTCCTTCTCCAAGCTCTTAAGCTGTGAGGTTAGGTTACTTATGTGTGCTCGCTCCTCCTTCCTGAGGAATGCTTGTAGAGCTATAAACTTTCCTCTTAACACAGCCTTTGCTGTGTCCCATAAGTTTTGGTAACTCGTGTTCTCATTTTCATTCGTTTCTAGGAATCTTTTGATTTCCTCTTTGATTTCCTGTCTAATCCACTCGTTGTTCAATAGTGCATTGTTTAATTTCCAGGTGTTTGATTTAGTTTTCTGTTTTTGTGTGTGATTTACTTCTAATTTCAGCGCATTATGGTCTGAGAAGATTGTTGATACAATCTCTACCTTCTTAATTTTATGGAGGCATGTTTTGTGGCTCAGCATGTGGTCTATCTTGGAGAATGTTCCATGTACGCTTGAGAAGAATGTGTATTCAGCTTTTCGTGGATGAAGTGTCCTGTATATATCTACTAAGTCCCTTTCTTACATTGTTTCCCTCAAATGAAGTATGTCCTTGCTAAGCTTGAGTCTGGTTGATCTATCAAGAGGTGACAAAGCAGTTCTAATGCGTTTTTAATAAAAAAAAAGCAATGGCATCTAAGCTACTAAGATAGCCCACAGAATGGGAAAAATTATTTACCCAATACCTAGCTGATGAAAGGCTAATATCCAAGTTATATAGCACATTGGTAGAACTTTACAAAAAAAAATATCTCCCAACCCCATCAAACAAATGCAGAGAGGAATAATGAACAGAAATTTCGTCAAAGAAGAAATTCAAGGGCTGGAGTGATAGTACAGTGGTAGGTTGTTGCTTTGCACGTGGCTGATCTGGGTTTGATCCCCGCCATCCTACGGGCTACACCCGCCTTGGAACCCCAAGTGTTCTGTGAGAACCAGAAGGCAGTGTCCTTCCTAAAGACACCCCATGCACACCCCATCCTCCCTTTCACCTAGAGGTGGAAATCACACCCAGATCCAAGACAGACCTGAGCCAACAA